CACTGATCTATTCTTTTGATTTTTCTTTTGAAAGTGAAAATGTGTATAGATACAAATTTTCCACTAAGGACTGGTTATTAATTGGATCTTAAAAGTCAAATCAAATCACGACAAGAACAACATATTATTGAATTTTGCTCTTTAAGCTAACCTGCTATCTTATTCCACTTTATGGGTTAGTTCATCCCATTAAATTAAAAGTTATGATTTTTAAATATGTATTTCCCTCCAATCTATTCTCTTATATTTTTCCTCTCTGCTTCTCATGTCTCTTTATTTAATTTTTTCGATCAACAAAAATATGCCTTATCTCTCCTCCATTTCCCTCCACCACTGAGAAAGCAAAACAAAACCCTGTTATAAACATGTATAATCAAGTAAAACAAATTCCCACATTCAATCCCTTCTTTACAAAGATGCACCAAGACAGGAGTGTGCTCAGCACCAGTGTTCCATGTTTGATAAAATGGACAAAATTATGTTCTTTTGAGTGTCTTCTCCTCTCACAGATTCAAATCAGAGGTTCTTACCAGTTCTTTCTTTTTAAGTCTCTCTTAATAAACTTCCCACCTAGTTTGGAGTTTATTTCACTTATGACTAACATTTTCCTAAATCTACCTTCCCTCTTATTTTTTTCTCTCCCCTTTCCCTCCTATTTCGCCACTGGGTGGAATATATTCCTACATCCAACTCACTGAATTGTGTGTATATCCTACCATTCTTGGACCAGTTCAGATGAAAGTAAGATTGAAGTGTCACCTACTTGCCTCCACTATTTCCTTATTGTTTGTATAGCATTCTCTGTGTGCACCTTATATATGTGGTAAAAAATAATACTTCACCTTTTCTTCCCTTTTTTCCTTTCCTTTCTTTTTTTTTTAAAGAGCATCAAAGCATAACAAAACTAATAGTAGGACCTCCGTGTATTATTCAACTCCCTGTATAACCTCCCTGTGGTACTGGAGATTCCAAGGGTAAATACCTGTCCTCTCCCTATTTGAATGTAAAAACTTTAAACTTGTTTAATTTTTTTTAGCACAAATCCATGCCATGCTGGATTTTAAGTATATCCTTGACAAACTCTGATTTTCTAATTCTAGTTTTAATTATAGACCATGGGTTTTCCTTTTTTCCTTCTGTACTTAAGAACAGAAAAAAAAGAACAATACCATATGCAAAGTAGGACAGAAAAAGATAACTATACATGAAAATGCAAATCTCTACTACGTTTAACTTGCTTTTTAAAAGTATATAATAAATTCAATACCTTTTCAAAGATATCTTGTCTGTTTTGTTCTATGCATTTTCTTTTTTTTTGCGGGGGGTGTTAGGCAATGGGGTTAAGTGACTTGCCCAGGGTCACACAGCTAGAAAGTGTTATGTGTCTGAGGCTGGATTTGAACGCAGGTCCTCCTGAATCCAGGGCTGGTGCTCTCTCCACTGCGCCACCTAGCTGCTCCTGTTCTATGCATTTTCTAAAATGCATAGAAAATTATCCTCTTTTCTTTCATTTTTCTGAGGCAGTGGCAACGCTATTACTAGCCCCCTTGGTTCCCTCCAGGGTTATGTAACATAAATATGTAGTGGACCCAGTCAGAAAGGGCACGCAATTTTCTCCACCTTCATTTAGCAGTACATCAGTAGGCACAAAGGTGACAAATGCTGAAAGTGACCCAAAACTGAGGTATGGTTTTGCCTAATTGGCAATATGATAAGGAATTCAAGAAAGTAGGACAGTCTAGAGTTGAATTGGTTCACCAAGGAGTCAAGACGGGGAGAAGAAGAGAGAGTGGCTAGTGTAGGGAAGATGGCATGGGAAAGAATTAAAGGATCAAGGGATTGTAGGTCACAGTGAGGATGAAGACTAGGGTTATAGAAAGGAAGGCAGAAGGAGAGATGGGAAGCCAATGTGGTCAGAATAAGAGGATTTCAGAACTGTGGGTGATGGCAAAATCAAAGGTATGATGATCATCTTTGTGTATGGCTGAGGTAAGGTCAAGAGTAGTTCATAGGTAGTGAGTAGGTTTAGGATATTTATGGGAGAATCAATATGAATATTCAAGCTCCCTAGTATGAGGGCAGGAGTTGGGAAACAGAGAGAAATTGTAAGCCAGATATCAAAATTATTGAGGAAGGAAGGGGAATGATCCGGAGGTCTACAGACAACCAAGATTTTAGCTGAGTGGTAGATATGAATAGCATGAACCTCAAAGGAAGAGAGGTTACTAAGCAATGGAGCAAGGGGGGAAACCTAGAAGTGGCAACGGGGACCAAGGAGTAAGTAGTCCAACTCCTCTGCCTCAATCAGTAAGTCAAGGATAATGAGTGAAGGTGTGGCTAGTACTGGAAAGAGTAGTCAGAGAGGCTGTGTCATTAGGGGAAAGCCAGGTTTTAATAAAAGTTAGTAGGTGGCAGGAGAGAGAGAGGAATAAATTTAAGATGAAGGGAAGTTCATGCCTATGAAACAAGCATTCCAAAGGACAAAGTGAAAGGGCTGGGTGGAGTTAGGATGAAACTTTGGAGTGGGAAGGAATTGGATGATTGGGAGGTGAAGGCTATGACAAGTGTGAGAATGCTCATCATTGAGCAGAAGCTAACACTCCTATATCCTCAAATGGCAAGCACAGCAGGTGATGGGAGGCCTGAAATCAGGGGAAGGGCTGCTGTTATGGACAGGAATTAATAAGTAAATTAGAAAGTAAAAAGCTTGAATAGCTAGAAGAACAATAATGAAAAAAAGTCACACAACTGAAACAACTCAATTCTGAACTATTTAAACAAACATCTGAAAATGAAAAATAGAAAGTAGACAACGGAAGTGATGCTGGCACCAATTAAATTATTTTGATGTGTAAATTTAACTGATATAAATCAACTGTCACAAATACCAGGAGTCCAAAAAACATCTTATTTAGAAAACACCTGACTTATTTGTCAACTGAAATGAGAGGACCAGAAAAAATAACTTGTTTAGAATATAAACTCATTCATAAAAATCTTACAAGAAGGATGACGGAAGATTATGACTGAGTAATGTATCATGAAACAGAGAGAGAAGCAGTAGAAGGTAAAGCTTGTTTAAAGGCCAAGCAGGTGTTTCAGATAGATAATAGTATGGCACTTTCTCTTCCAGAACATCCTTAAAAAATTACTGAAGAACCCAAATTTCATGTAAATATCTACTTTTAAAATTATCTACATTGACCAGTTACCCTTTACACGGTGGTTTAAAGACTTTTTATCAAAACTCTTCTGTAAAAGATCTCTCTTTCCTTTTTGTGGTAAATAAACCATCTGGGAGGAAATTAGTAGCTGGTTTATTTCTAAAATACTTTTGTATTAAGGGAAATTGTATCTCTCTGTAGTAAAATTAATCTAAGAAGACTTTAAATATATGTTTAAGTAATGCTTTGAGAAATGGGATGTGCAGTTTCCCAATATATAAAGGTAATTAAAAAAAATCTTTTATTTAATGAGGGGAAAAAAGGCTTCATTTTTGCATAGATCCTACAAAGAATGATAGGTTACAAATGAGATAATCACACAAATTTACTCTTCGTAAAGTAAAAGAAAAGTGATTTACCATGACTAGCAACTCTATTTTATAATAGAGCAGAAACTCTATAGAAAGAAATGAAAACAAAGAAAAGATCTTCTGGTTAGGAATGCACCACCTTCCTAATCATGCAGCTTGTCTCTAACACAGTCACATATACCCTTTATCCATTATAGTCAATTAATAAACATTTATTAAGTACCTACTATATGCCAGTCAATGTGTTAAGTATCTGGGAATACAAATAAAAGTGAAAAAAAGTCTCAGCCCATTATAGTCCAATATCTACCCATTCCTGTTTATTAATTGACTGACTGATTTTCTACATCTGTTCAAGCTCCCAAACTTTCCTCCTCTGAGCTGAGAATCTGCTCCTCAGAGCAGTTATAATCTAACTCCTGCCCAGAATATCCACCAGGATGTTTTCAAACTGATATGGGTATAAGATCTAAAAAAGCTTAGAGAATAGTGATCTAAATAGTTTCAACCCTAATGTGCAACCTGGCCAGAGAGAAAAGAACTAGGAATAAATGAAGTCCAGCATAAGTCTAAAATTTACAGCAAAACAAAGATCAACATGGGATACAAAATAGAAAATGTCATATTTTAAAAGAGAGTATTTGCTTTTAATAAGTGTTCCAGCTTTATTTTATCTTTGACACTTGAAATTCCTCTGCTTTATCTCACATTATAACTACTTTTAGCCTTTATTTCTCTAAGTGTGTGAGACTTCCTTATCTATAAGTTTGACTAGATGATCAGAGTGCCTTATAGCACTAAATTTACAGTCCTACTATTCTAAGAAAGCCTAGTAAGAGACTCAACTATGAAAAATCACCCCAAAGGATGATTTTAGGATGAAAATAAAAGGAGGAAAACAAAACAAGAATGAAAAAGGTCTGCAAAGATTATTATAAGTTTTAATCATTGTTGTACAAATTTTCTTTGAGTCCAGACTAGCTACTGCATTGAATAAGCCAGCACATGAGACAGACACTTGACTGGCAATTAGAACACCTGGGTTTTAGTTCTGGTTCTGCTTCAAACTAATTTTATGACCACAGGCAATTGATCTATAAAAGAGCTTTTTTTTTTTCAATCAAAAACAGATAACTAAAAAATTCTAGCACATATATTCCATTTTATTTTTTGTCCTCCCAATTTAATCTATAAATACTTTTGGAAATACTTGAATTGTACTGCTGAAGAATGACCTGATCAGTATTATACAATAAATCATTTGAAATAAGCTTCAAATCCAGGGCAATTACATTAACTAGCCTTCTTTTGTTCACTTTTTGCAAAATTATTTAGACCTCTGGTTATGAAGTGTTTCTGTTTATTGTCGATTCCACTAAACTTTGCAAACAAGTTTTTATATTTCATGAATGATATTTTATATACATTTAAAATTTTATACATGCATTTTTAAAGAAAGCATTACCTGTTGGTCATCTGGAGTCCAAATGCCACATGTGATCTGACTTTCCAAATTAATCTCTGATGACCAATGCCTTTGTCCACTGACAGAACCAACCAACACAAATCCATCTCGATATGAGATAAGAGCTTGAGTTCCATCATGACTCCATGTAAAATCACTGACCTTAAGACACACATTTTTAAAAAGAGGTTAAAAATCTGTATATCAATTGGAAATACTTCTGTAAAAATAAAAAATGCCTAAAACAACAAATTCTGGTGAAAAGCTATGAAATTAGTAACAGGAACACTCAACGCCTATTCAAGAGTTACTAAAATGTTAGTACAATAGGTTTTCCTTAATGATTCTTCAGTCCTGCTCACAATCCTGTAGTAAAAGATCGAAAGTATTTAAAGATCTTCACAACCTGGCCCTTTCCAGTCTTTTGAATCTTAACACACTCCACAACATCTGTAACCACAAAAGAACCTGGGGTAGAAGGTGTGGGTAAAATTAAGAGGGGGAAATCTTCCATATGGCACCTGACCAGCTGCTAGTGCAAATACCCAGGTCCCAGATGAGGTATAGTCATACAGAAAAATCCACACCTGGCACAAAAGAGATGTTCAGACCTTGCACAAGCACTGGAAGGTATAGAGGAATGAATGTTGTTGGGTGATAATGAGTAAAGTGTATTGTTTCCTTGTGCCACAGACAAATCCTGCAATTAGCTGCTGTAGAGAGGGTGGGATTCCAGCCCATTTCTCCAGATTTAGATGATCCTGTATCCTTTGGGAACACACCAAAACCTATGGGGGCTGTGAAGTATACTTTGTAGATCACTGCTTTAGAAGTTAAGAGAGAAATCAGCTTAAGGAACTAATTAAAGTATAATGATATAGTAAAGGACATTCCTCACTAAAACCTTTCAACATAGGCCATTGGATACCATGTCATACTTTTACTAATGCTACAGAATGCAAACTGCCCCACAGGCTTGTATGTGCTTTAGCACATGTTAGATGAGTACTACTATGACAATCATATTAAAGGAAGATATATAATGATAAATAAGAAGAACCTCCAAAGTAGTATCACTCATGTCCTTATAGATTATCCTCTATACAGGTGGAGAGAAATATACTCAGTTTTGTTCTAATGCTTGTTTTGAAATTGCAAATTTGTTCCAATATGATTGATACATTAGGCAATGAATTCAGAATAATGTGAATTTTTTACTTGCTTATGTGTGATTTTATCACCAAGATGCATCAAGAGAACACAGAAAACTATACCACTTCACAATAAACGCACAAGCTGCAACTTTTTCCAAATCTACTTCCACAAACAAACCATGGCTTCCTCAAGGTAAAGTGTGATATTTACTGTGCAATAATTTGGTGCAATAGGAGCTGTGGGCTTAGGAGGACTGATTTGCCCCTCCCCCCCCATGATGCAACACAGTGTTTCCAGCTTTCATTTAACCCTCAAACGGAAGATGAACTTGGCTGGGATACAGAGATTAAAGATGATGTAACTGAAGAATGTCACAAACATGGAGGAGTCATCCATATTTACGGACAAAAATTCAGCTTAGGGCAACATGTATATGAAGTGCCCCTCAACTGCTGCAGCCATTGCCGCAATAAATACATTGCATGGAAGATGGTTTGCTGATAAAATACTTACTGCTACATATGTAACTCTTCCAACTTAGCACAACCTCTTCCCTGATTCCATGATGGCAACACAACTCTTGGTTCCCATTTGACGATGAAGGAAGAATTAGTCCCTTATGTACATAACTTTCCCCCATGATGGCATGCTCCCTTGACCCTCCAAATTGAGGCACAATGAGTCCAGTTCCCAGTGACTTGATTTTGCCAATGCAGATTGAACAACATCCTGAGGCTGTAGACACTACCACTATTTACTGTAGTATCTGTATGTTTCTTAACCACTTAACACATATAAAACTGCTTCCATTTTTATTAGGTTCTTTCCTATCTTTTTTTAATGTACCACTGATGAAGTTTTTTAGTGTTGTGCCCCAACTCCATTCTCATCATAAGCCCTGTGGTTTTTACTGGGCAACTGTATAGAGAGCGGTGATTTTTAGGAATGTATCTGTAAAGTTATAGAAGTACTGACCGCATGGTGGGAAGAGAAAAATTGATAAATGACAACAGGCATCTAAATTTATGGAAACTGTTATTGAAGACAGCGTTATAAATCTCTGGTCAAAGAATGAGCTATAAGGAAAAAGAGCATAGAGCTCACAGCATAAATACAAAGGATGCCACAAAAGGAAAACATCCTTCAAAAAGGGCCTCAGAAGTGGTTTGCTAATAAGAACACTCAGAAAACCTGAACTTCACAAGGAATCACAACTCAGGTAAGAACAATTTCAATTTTAATTAAATATAAAAACTTGGAGATTTCTCATGACAGCAATAAAGCTGAAAGTAAGTTTATTTTCTACATTCCCTAGGTATAAACATGATGAGAAATGAAAAGCAAAACATACTCAAGAATATTTCAACTGGTTTTTTTCAACATTCTTTTATCAGTGAGACTTTCTTACTCACCTGTGCCCCTCGGTCATTCACCAGCTCTACAGACCACCTGCCTTCATACTGAATCCATACAAATATTCCTCCATCTGAATCACAGGTGGCCAATTTCTGGAACGGTTCATTCCACCTTACCAGTACAACCTATAAAATAACCAACAAACAAAAATTTACTATTTCTTTATAATCAGAGGTCAAATATACAAATAATTACACAATTCAAGATAAAATGAAACCCTATGAGCAAAAGCAAAATATTGATTTGAGGAATGTAGAAGAAGTGGGAGGAGAGAGAACTATGGAGTAGATTAAGCATCTTTTTGATAAAACAAATGATTTTTGGTATAACTGCTAAATTATGGCAGATTTTAAAGGCTTTTTGATGAATACAACTATATAAGAACAAAAACATGCCAAAAATATGTCCCACTGCTATAAAAACTTAAGAAACAATGTGGCAACCAAGAAAGGCCCTAAATAAAGGCCTTCAAATTTCTGTCACGTTTTATTAGTGTAAAATTTCTTTCAGATTTTAACCTGAGTATTCCATGCTCAGTTATGAACAAAGGGAAGAAGACTTCCTTTCCTCTCTAAAGAACATCAGTCTTACTCTGGAATTTAAAATCATTCTATGCCTTCATTAGCTATTTCTTCCCCACAAAAGATTCAATGCCTAAACATGGCTATTTGAGCAACATCAACATGTAGTTGAAATGAATCAATTTAAAACAAAATATTAAAAGCCATTAAGCTTTCCGAGATAAAATCTGAAGAATCAAATCCTGCAGATATGAAAAGTTGTTTTTTTTAGTAAAAATGATACTCTCAACCCTCACCCAAAACAGGTAGACTACAAAACACGATCAAAATTTCAGTCTGATTTGTGTCCTAAATCAGGCATTCTTAAACTTTTATGTTTATATCTCATGGACCCTTTCTCAGAATGTTTTAAATGCATAGAACAAAATAAAGAGGCTTATAAAGGACATCAATTATACTGAAATACAGCAATCAAAACAACAGAAAAACAAATTCACTGACTTCTGATCTTGTTGTTCCTGTTCCATCAATTTCAGCAGCTAATGGAATACATAAAGTCAATCCAATTTTGTCCCCCACAAAGAATACTGTGGGATGTGTGGGCCAACTATTCAGCATTCCGAAAGGCCCTCCCCAAGTAATGGCCCCAAAGCTTCCAGAACACAGCTTTTGTGGAAGGAGCACTTGACTGGCAATTAGAACTCCTGGGTTTTAGTTCTGGTTCTGTTTCAAACTAATTCTATGACCACAGGCAACTGATCTAAAAAAGAGCTTTATTTCTATAATTCTTTCCCTCATGGACCTGCTAAGCCATAATTTGCTGAGTTTTAGGTCATGATACAAACTCTTCCACCTCAAAGTAGACTCTATATCTATCAAATTATTTTTAAAAATATATATTGATTGTATATAACTAGACAGAAGACAGCTCTAGATGTTGCAGATTCCCAGAATTTCTGAGATGAAAGGAACTGCCACAATATTTAATGAAAATCATTCCCAAAAAAGAATCTCTCTTTCGTATCAACAACTGATCGCACTCAGCATGTGATTATTCAGTCTTTGACTTAAGACCTTCAAAAAGTAAGAATGTAGTATCTACCAATGTAATCAATTTACTTTCTAGCTCTAGAATTTTAACTGACTTCAAGCCTAAATTTGCCTTTTTATGGCTTCAACCCATTGCTGTTCTTTCTGGTCTCTAAGGCAAAGCAGACCAAGTCCAACTCCTCTTTCACAATCAAATGAAAGCCCTCCTTGAAAACACCTATGGAGTCTCTCCCCAGCTCTTACCCACAACCCTTTCTTCTCCAGATTAAACAACCCCATTTCCTTCAACTAATCCTCATTTGGCATGAACTCAAGGCTCATCATCTTGACTTCTCTCCTTTGCATCATCTCAGGCTTATCAATGTCCATCATAAAATTTGATATCTGAAATGTAACACAATACTCCAAATGAGATCTGATTAAAATAGAATACAAGATGATCATTTCCTTATTCCTAGAAGTTATGCTTCTCTAAGATTATATATGAGCTTTCTTGTCTGACTTATCACACTAATGAGTATAAAGTTCATGAAAACTCACAGGGTTTTTATTTGTTTTGTTTTGTTGACTCAAATTGCCATCTACCCATGCCTCCACCAATCTTGTACTTGTGAAGCTGACTTCGGAATTCAATTTTATGACTTTAAATTTATCCCTATTAAATTTTATCTTATTAAATTCGGCCTTTTCAAGATAATTTAGGATCTTGACTGTCTTTCATTGCAGTAGCAATCCCTCCCAGACAGGTTTCATCTTCAAATCTCATAAGCTTTCCTTCTATGACTATTCAAGTCATGTATAAAAATGCTAAAAAGGACAAGGCCAAGCACAGATTCACTGAGATACTCCAAAAGACACTTTCCAAGCTAATACCAAATCATTAATGATTATTTTAGTGGTCTAGCTATTCTAACAGTTCAGAATCATACTATCCAGCATACAACCATCCAATTTTTCCACAAGAAGAACAATAAAGGCTTTAATCAAACATTTTGCTAAAAATCTTGGTACACTATTTCTATAGCTGATCAACAAAGGAAATAAGATTTGTCTGGCATGACCTGATCCTGAAGAAATTATGCTAGTTTTTTGTGATTACTGATTCTTCTTCTACATGTTCACTAGTCACCCTTTTAAAGATATATTCTATTGGATTAGCCTAGTTATGAGCAATTAATATTTCTCTAATCATTTTGTTCTGTATTTCAGTAAAGAGCATTTTATTGCTATATTCATATAGTTCTTATATATATCTTGCAGTTACTGTACCTAGCGTTTTACACATTTTTTAGTTATTTTAACTGGAATTTCTCTATTTCTGCTGATGCTTAAAAACTGAAAAAGTAAAAAAATTATTTTTAAAGAAATTGTGGAAGGAATAAAGAAGGAAATCTTACAATTTTGCCAGCAATCAGAGACAAGATCACAAGCTTATAGCTTACAATTCTATTCTTTTCTCATTTTTGATAATTAACAAAACATTTGTACTTCTTCAGTCCCAGAAGTACAAATTCTTCCTATTCTTTTTTCCTATTTTTTTTTCTTCTTCACAATTACCTAGAGGAAAAAATTTCATTATTTGATAAAAAAAAAATACTGCTAGGAAAACTGGAAAGCAGTCTGGCTGAAACTAGGCTTTGACAACATATTACACTATATTCTATACTATATTTTAAATAGATACTTCACCTTAATATTAATTATTCCACTATAAAAAATTTGAAGAGAAACAGATCATATACCTCTCATAACTATGGTTAAGAGATGTATTTTTTTTAAGGCAATTGGGGTTAAGTGACTAGCCCAGGGTCACACAGCTAGTAAGTGTTAAGTGTTTAGTCTGAGTCTAGATTTGAACTCAGGTCCTCCTGACTTCAGGGCTGGTGCTCTATCCACTGCGCCACCTAGCTGCCCCAAGAGCTGTGTTCTGAACCAAACAAGAAATAGAGAAAATTTTAAAAGGGAAAATAAATAACTTTGATTACTTGAAAATGAAAAGCTACTGCATAGACACATTAATGCATGTAGAATAAGAAGGGAAATTGCAGAATGAGGAAAAAGTCTTTGTATCCAATTTCTCTAATAAAGATGTGGTATCCAAGCTCTATAAGCTATTAATAAATATAAGACTAATAGCTGTTCCCTAACAGATAACTGGTCAAAGGATATGAATAAACAGTTCTAAAAAAAAAATTGAAAGTATTCACAACCATGTGAAAAAGGCACCAAATCACTATTAATAAAAGAAATAAAAATCAAAACAACCCTAAAGTTTTACACCCTACAAATTAGCAAAAATGACCAAAAAAAATGACGCCGCCTAATGATGAAAAGATTGTAAAAGGACTGGCATGCTAATATATTGTTGGTGGAGCTATGAAATGGAAATGCTTTGGAAAGCAATTTGGAATTAAGTGACTAAAATAAAGTGACTAAAATGTTCATATCCTTTGAACTAGAGTTCATAGGTTCATACCTCAAAGAAGTCATCAATCAGAAGAAAGTCCCCATATACGCCAAAATATTTATAGGAATACTTTTTGGATAACTAAGATTCGGAAACAAAGTAAAAACCTATCAATTGAGGAATAGGTAAAAAAATTGAGGAACATGATGAATGTAATGGAATATTACTGTGCTATGAGAGATTATATGTGTGATGAATACAGAGAAACATGGAAAACTATAGGAACTGGGGCAGAATAAAGTAAGGAGAGATAAGAAAACAATATACACAGTGACTACAATGATGTAAATGAAAAGAACTACACCCTTCCCAAAGTAAATGTAACAAAATTATAAAGGTAAAGCAAGACTCAAATGAAGAGCAATGAGGGGACACGCTAAATCCATCCTTTCATAGAGGTGGGAAGTCCACAGTTGATACACCTTGCACATGTTTTCAGAATTTTTCAATGTATTTATCAGTTGTGCTGTTTTTACCTCTCTAAAAATTATTACGTTATATGAGATATCTCTCTAGAAGGAGGAAGGGGAGGAACATTTAGAATAACTATGATGATTTAAGAAACCAAAGATATCGAAGATGGCGGAATAAAAAGGTACTCACTCTCACTCTCCCCTATCAACCTCTGAAAACCCAGAAAATATCACCACAGAAAAAAAACCTGGAACACCTGAGCTAGAAGAGAGAGGGGGAGCAGCAGTGCAGCAGCCCAGGAAACGGGTCTCTCAGTGCCTCAGCAAAAATAAGGGAAGCAACACTACAAAAGGCCCTAGGCAGATAAGTACCCTGCAGCATTCATCTGACAAGAAGTGAAGAAAGCAACCTAAAGTCTTCCTAAAGTCCAAGCCTTGCTGACTCCAGCCCAACACCAGGTAAGCTGTCAGAACCTCCAAATGTCAACCAGGAAGAGATCCTGAAGCCCAGGTGGTAGAGCAGGCAAACACCAACACCTGGACTTCTAAGTGCCTCAGTGAGGGCAGGGGAACCAGTGGAAACCAGCTCTGAAAACCACCAGGTGCCTAGGCACTCTACACAAAGGAATCTCCCAGCGCATTAGCAGAAAGGAGGGAGACAGCACTGCAAGGGG